AGACTCTCAGTCTAGCCGTACTTAAGTACGGCTAGCCACTTCGTTTCCAGACACTTACCACAAAGAAGATGTTGGTGTCCCTGCGACTGCAACGTACGTATAAGAATCCTTGCCAGCTACAGTGTGTTTCATTCTGTTGGTTGGCCGGAGAAGCACAACAAAGCAAATCCTGATGCTTTGACTTTGTGTAAAAATAGTGTTTTACTGTACAGCTTTCAACAGAGAAAAAGGTAGAGTATCAAACTCAAACAGGTCTTCTATTAATTCGACTATCAATGGAACTTTACTCAACGTACATTGTACAAAAATTATAAATTATGTATATGTTAGGCTATAGATATAGAGGCAAGGAAAGCGGACTTGATATAGGCAGCCTAGATCTAGACATTTTCGTCCAAGAATATGTCGTCTCTGGTCTGACTCTTAGACTGAGATCATACAAGAAACGGAGAATAGAGATCATGTCCTTTTCCGAAAAAAAAACCCCATGGGACCAGGAACGCCCGCCGGCGTAGAAATGTATAGTCTAGTATAGCCTAGATTCTAAATCTAAAGGGAGTGTATACAGACCCGGTAACCGGGAACAAAGTCACAAAGTATACAGACCCGGTGGGGGAACTCTTTTGTGATTTCGGAAAGTTTCAGAGCCCTCTTGGCTCAGGGTTGACCTAGGTTCTTCTAAATCTGTGGCCTAGGTCTAGATCTAGACAGACAGACATAAATCATTGATGTAGTTTCGAGGCTAGCCTAGATCTAGATCTAGATCTAAATTAGATTGCGGATGTATTTTCGATGAACGATCGTTTTTCCCTCGTTTTGGAGTTTGGAGGAATCACAATTTGAAGAAAAGAACAATGTCATAATTTCAATCCAGCAGTCACCTTCTCTCTCTCTCTCTTCTGAGTATCGCTTGCCTTCTCTTTTTCTTTGTTCGTCTCTGTCTTTCTTTTCCCCCACATATTTCCCTCTCTCTCTCTCTCACACATGACAGGGTCTGGGCGCTGAAACTTTCCAAAATCACAAAAGAGTTCCCCTACCGGGTCTGTATACTTTGTGACTTTATACCCGGTTACCGGGTCTGTATACACTTCGAAATCTAAAATCTAGATCTAGATCTAGATCTAGATCTAGAAGATCTAGGATCTAGATTCTAGGCCTTGTCTTCTTTCCAAAAAATTCTATTCTATTTTTTAGACTTTTCTAGATCTGGGGTCTAGATCTATGTGGAGAAGGAACCAGCAATGCCACCTAGATCTAGATCTAATTAGATATACAATCTACATCTAGAAATCTAGATCTAGTCTAGGTCTAGATTAGATCTATATCAAGATCTCGATATCTAGCCTATCTGCTGCTGCATTTCGGCACTTTGGGCAGAAATAATTTAGATTTAGAGTGAGTCAAGGCGAAGGTGTGCTGCACATGAGAGTGAGACGAGTACAGATCAGAGATAAGACCTAGATCTAGACTTTCTCAACCCACACCGCAAAAATGTCAGCGTGCCCTAGAATCAAACACAGAGAAAAATAACCTCCGCTGAATCACATTTTTCGTTTTCCCGTTTCTCCTGTGAGAAGCAACAGATCGATCATCAAGCAGGATAATTTCAGCAATTGCACGTCAGGGCCAGCATGCTGCTATCGCGATGTCGGACTTGACAATCATGCAGTGGGCCAAGCGTTTAGATCTATTGCTTTATTCTGTTCTTTCTTTTTTTTGTGTTTGTTACAGAGAAAGGAATTCAACGCACAGAATCTAAGCCTGCTGCACTGATGCCACTGATAGGTAAGCCTAGCACAGTGCACAGGCCGATGTGTGAAGGCCTTGGCCCAGCTTTCCCACTGGCTTTCTTCAGAGACAGCTGAAGAAGATCTAGGCTAGACGAGACGTAGGGCTAGACAGCAGTCCAGCAGTTCCAAACACAACACAAAGCGCAAGCACGCACACTCGCACTACACACTAGCAATGATAGTACATAACAAGATGGGCCACTCAGCCAAAAAAGTGTCCGCAGGAAGTATGCTCTTTGCTTCAGATGGCGCTGCAGTCTGTTTTGAAGCTCTCTTTCGTTTTTCCAGAAGAAGAATAGGAATAGCACCTCCTTGCGTGCGCAGATCGACTGCTGTTCATCAGCAGTTCGGGTACGTTCAGTGCGGAGTTTTAGGTTTTTTTATATTTTAATGACCTCTCGCCTTTCATTCTAAAGTCAAATTAAACAAAGAAAACCATCACCCTTTCCTCCGGAAGAGGTTTTTTGTCAGCGTAACCATTTTTAAAAAGCGTTCTTCCGAAATTTATCCAAAAAACTTGCTAGTTTCACTTTGATTTTGTAAAACTCAAGTAGGGTAACTCTGTTCGCAAAGAGTGCGCTTTTGTGAAGAGGGCGCCACCAAATTTGGAGGACACTTTTTTAATTGGCTCAAAGAGAGAAGTGGCCCATCAGAGTCACTAGGCGTTCGTTCAGTACCACAGAATTCTAGGTATGTTCAGTACATAAAATAACACTGGATTGTTAGGGGCACGTATTTTCAAAGTGTCAAGGCCGTTCGGTGTTCCCAAAAGTAAAGGCGTTCGGCGGTTCGTTTCCCATTCATTTCACCAGCGTGCTTGGTCAAGCAAAGGTGGATTGGGATTGAGACTCGTAAACTTGACTTGATCTAGATCTAGATCTAGATCTATTCTAAATTTTCTAGATCTCTGTTTGTCGGGAGGGAGGGAGAGAGAGTGTATTTCTGAATGAAAAAAGACAGATACAGAGAGGAAAAGAATGTGTGTGTGTGTGTGTGTGTTTGACAGAGCGCGCGAGCGCACAAACACACACACACATACAGAGAGAGATGGAGAGAGAAAGAGAGTGTGTGTGACTAGTGAGAGAGAGAGAGAAATGACAGAGAGAGCGAGAGAGTGATGACAGGGAGAGCGAGAGAGATGACAGAGAGAGAGAGAGAGAGAGAGAGGGGGAGGGAGGGAGGAAGAGTGTGTTTCCGAATGAAAAAAAAGACAGATACAGAGAGGAAAAGAATGTGTGTGTGTTTGGCAGAACGCGCGAACGCTCAGACAGAGAGAGAGAGAGAGAGAGAGAGAGAGATGGAGAGAGAAAGAGAGAGAGTGTGTGTGACTAGTGAGAGAGAGAGAGAGATCTCGAGAGAGTGTGTGTGTGTGTGTTTCTGAATGAAAAAAGATAGACACAGAGAGGAAAAGAATGTGTGTGTATGTGAGAGAGAGAGAGAAATGACACAGAGAGAGCGAGAGAGAGATGACAGGGAGAGATCGAGAGAGATGAGAGAGAGAGAGAGAGAGAGAGAGAGAGAGAGAGAGAGAAATGACACAGGGAGAGCGAGAGAAAGATGACAGGAGAGAGCGGGAGAGATGACAGTTAGAGATGACAGACAGACAGAGAGAGAGAGAGCGAGACAGAGAGAGAGAGAGAGAGAGAGAGACAGATAGAGAGACAGAGAGAGAGACAGAGAGAGAGACAGAGAGAGGGAGAGTGTGTGTTTCTGAATGGAAAAAAGACAGATACAGAGAGAAAATGAATGTGTGTGTGTGTATGTGTGTGTGGACAGAGAAAGAGAGAAAGTGTGTGTGACTAATGTTAGAGAGAGAGAAATGAAACAGAGAGAACGAGAGAGAGAGATGACAGGGAGAGAACGAGAGAGAGAAAGAGAGAGAGTGTGTGGGACTTGTGTGTGTGTGTGTGTGTGTGTGAGAGAGAGAGAGAGAGAGAGAGAGAGAGAGATGACACAGAGAGAGCGAGAGAGATGACAGGTTGAGAGCGAGAGAGAGAGATGACAGAGAGAGAGAGAGAAAGAGAGAGAGAGTGTGTGGGACTAGTGTGAGAGAGGGAGAGAGAGAGAGAGAAACAGAGAGAGAGAGAAAGAGAGAGAGAGAAAGAGAGAGAGAGTGTGTGGGACTTGTGTGTGTGAGAGAGGGAGAGAAATGACACAGAGAGAGCGAGAGAGAGAGATGACAGGGAGAGGGCGAGAGAGATGACAGAGAGAGAGAGAGATGACAATTCTTATTATAATATTAACAAACGCCTCACCTCCTCTCTCTCTCCCTCTTTCTTTCTACCCCCCATCCCCCCTCATCTTTGTCTCCCCCTTCTCTCTGTTTCTCCCC